TATACGTAGAAGTAAATTGTACTTTTTTATAATTAATTTTATTAAAAATCTCAGGGGCATAGGTAGGTTTTAACTTTTTTATTTCTTTTTAAATTCGAAGAGATGGTTCCACAGCGCTCAAACAAACAGTTGATAGTTGAGCTTCCTCACGGGGTTTTTGATTATGTGATTACTTGGACGTTTTTTAGTGATTATTTGATTACCAGACCAAATATTTCATGATTATTTGATAATCTAGGAGTGTACTTTTATACGCCCGTTTATGGGAAGTATTATGGTATACCGTTGTCCGTCCGTCGTCAACATATCGGATATTACCTCAAAAACGCTTTAACCAATTTGCATAAAACTTTGGTGAATTGTTAATATCTATTGACGTGAGCTCCCTTTCTTTTTTTTTTTAAATTTTAGATTTTACGTTTCCGAGTTATGGGGTTGTATTATAAAGAAATTTACCAAATCAAAAACTATTATCTTCGAATCGTGCTGCAAAAAAAGTTTCCATAGCGGCAAAATCAAGAGAACTAAACACCGTATTTGTTCACTCTGCGGTCTTTATTATTTTTTTTTTTGAAAGAGATAATGTATAGATGGAATTGGTAGTGATTGGGGTTAAATTCTGGTAAACTTTACATCAATAAATTAAACAGAGAAAATTCGGCATTTTAATGCGATTAAAAAAAAACAATAAATATAGTTTTTTTAAGACTGCATAAAAAGGACACTTTATATCATTACTTTGATATTCTAAAAGAAAACTTGCATTCACTGTCCTTCTTTTCTCGCTATTGGAGAAAAAGAGATTTTTCCTATATACACTGAACAACACAAATGAAGCACCACTTCTTTCCATACAAAGCAACTTTTTATAAGATATAATCTTAAAATGAATCCCCGGGTTTAAGAGAAATTTTAGTTTTTGTGGCGACAATGTGGATTTCAACCAAACAATAGTCAAAAATCAAAAGTAAGTTATTTTCAAATTGGTCATTACAGAAAAATAAGATCAAAATTTTAACATCGTACTAATTTTTGATTGCTTTTAGGTGAAAAGATTCACGCGACTTTCGTTTTTGCAACATTTTTATGCCCCACCTACAGGGGCATTTCGTTTTCCGGTCTGTGCGTCCGTTCGTTCGTCCGTCTGTCCCGCTTCAGGTTAAAGTTTTTGGTCAATGTAGTTATTGATGAAGTAGAAGTACAATCAACTTGGAACTTAGTACACATGTTCCCAATGATATGATCTTTTTAATTCTAATGTCAAATTAGAGCTTTGACCTCAATTTCACGGTCCACTGAACATAGAAAATGATAGTGCGAGTGGGGCATCCGTGTAGTGTGGACACATTCCTTTTTCATTTTTGTGTTGACAAATTAATTTTTTTGAGAAGTTTTTGTTGATGTTGATGACCCCAGTAACATTGTGCAAATTTTTGGACTCATTTCAAGCACTTATAAAGCAGTCATATATTTGGCTGATATGATCATAGGTACATGTACTTGGGGACAGGACGATTTTTTTTTACCTTCCCCTATTTTCCAAAAAATATATACATCAGTAACAACTGTGGATAGTAAACATGGAATTGATAGTAAATAGCAAATGCAAGTTATTTATAGTATATTTATCATTTTGTGTTCTTATAATACAGAAAAAACGCGAAAATAATTGAAATTAATAGAAAACGATAAAATAATGGATTTTGGAAAAAAGGGAGAGGGCCAAAAAAAAATGTCTTGTCCCCAAGTACCTATGGATATGAAGACAGAGAGTTATAATGATGGACTAAAGACTTTAAAATTATGGAAAAGGGTAGTTTTTTAATCTTATGCACCGTATGGTTATCAATGCATACACATTAAAATACATCGGATAACCTTAAACTGTCAAGATTAGTTTTCACGCAACAGCTTATTGAGGATCTCGCCAAAGAAACGAAAATCAAGACAATTTAGACAAAATAAGAATAAAAATGGAATTATGAAGTTGCCCGGTCATCGAGAGAAAGACTGCGATGTATGTTCAGACAGGAATGGTTACGGGGGTCGAAGGAGGAGTAGGACAGTGTGTCGAGTATGCAGTAAGGGGGTGCGCCGGGATTGTAAAGATAATCATTAGTGTGTTGAATCTTGATTAAAAATATATTATTTGTTTCTGATTAAAAAAAAACGTTTTTATTGTAATACCAGGTATTGTTTTAAAATGGAGAAGTGAGAACATAAGACAACCCACCACACCTACATGAATAAATGATTCATAATGCATCAAATCCCCATCCTCTCCCATAAAGATGGCTCTGTAGGATCACGACAAGCGCTTTAATTACTCAACTTTACTTTTCCCTAGATGGTATTTTTAATTGATTTTTCGGTCATTCTGGTATTTGAAATCGCTCTTTGAACGTTTTTAGGCTTCTTGTTTGTTTGATAATTCCATAATTCGGATCTGGACCATTACTGAAGATTCATTATTTGATGAAACGTGCACATACAGTGCAACAAAATTGGTTTCAGTAATTAAACATTTCGACTGCTATCATTAATGAGTGAAACTTCTCCATTTCTTTAATATGATTTTTTTTTATATAAAACAAAACAGAAAAATCAGCAGAAAGTCCACAAAATGAAAACAAATTGAAATAATTTATATATATACTCTATGAAAGTATGGCCGACGTAACTAAAATGAAAATTTGAAAGCACTTTGCATGCATAACGTTACGTTTTGTTACGGCACAGTTCTTCGTCTGTGTAGCCACTCCCATAGTACACAAAAGAGGCAACGTCACTGAAGCCTATTGTTCGACGTAATGAAAAAAAACATCGGCCAAAAATCGGCCCGTGGCAGTCAACGTAGTATTTACAAATCGGCCTAAAATCGGCGCGTGGCACAGAAAACGTTAAAATAACCCGCTACGAGGGTTATTCAGTGTGCACCACATTTTTGATGTTATTTCTTCATAGACAGAAAATATATTACAGTCATTCCTTAAATAACGTCCCCTCTCCGACCTGTGTATTTGTATATACGAAATCGGCCGCCGTAAAAGTCAATTTTTCGAAAATTTGGTCAATATTAAATACTGACCAATTGAAGTATTAAAGTAGTTTTGGTAACCACTTTCCTTGTCAAAGGATAGATTTAAATTTTCTCACGTTATGAAGATAAATGAAATATACTGACAAAAAGTGACGGTAACTGGTCCTCGACCAGTATGTCTTTATTACTTTTATACCATCTTCTACATATAAAGGAAATGCCTGTGCCAAGTCAGGAACATGACAGTTGTTTTCCATTCGTCTGACGTGTCTGAGCTTTTGATTTTGCCATTTGATAAGGGACTTTCCGTTTTGAATTTTCCTTGGTATTTTTGTTATTATACTTTTAATGGTTTAAACAAACCACTTTTTGAAAATGATGTTTACAGTGAAATAGGTTGCAGGTACTACCACCTTTTACAGAATTGACAGTTAACATCTACGGATGGTCACGTACACCACAGACATACATTTGTTAAAACATTCTGTAGAAAATCATCGATTCGCTTCTGCAAAAGTTATTACCTAAACATAGTTAAGAATGAATTAATAAAAGTTGAATTGTTGAGTAGGGGTATGAAAAAGCAACACTGAACTCATCTCTTACATTGGAAGTACTTCCTGCTTTATATATAACAAACACTCGACTATTTTCTAATTATAATTATTTCGAATAGACAATTATTGACAAAGATACATTACATCATAATGAGACAAATGATTATAAAAGAATAGGAAGATGTGGTAATATTTCCAATGAGACAACTCTCCACCAGAGACAGAAGATGTGGTATGATTTCCAATGAGACAACTCTCCACCAGAGACAGAAGATGTGGTATGATTTCCAATGAGACAACTCTCCACCAGAGACAGAAGATGTGGTATGATTTCCAATGAGACAACTCTCCACCAGAGACAAAATGACGTAGAAGTTTGTTGTTTTGTAATCTACTAAAACAGATTGATGACGATCTATTCTATTAAACATGAAAAACACGAGATAAAAATAAGGTTCCTACTCCCCCAGGCTTAGGTAGATGTTATCTTTAAGTCCTTTTTTGTCTTATAGTTTCTCGCGTATTAGAGTACTTATACACCCATGTCTTTCACATATTTGGATTTGAGCGTTTCTAATGACGGTAACTCCAGTTAAGCGTTTCTAAATGAAATCGAATTTATAAGGTGTTATTTTCATTCAGTTAGACTTTAATGCAATATACCTATGTGTACAGAATGTACAATGAATTATACCTATGCGTACAGAATGTACATGTACCTTGTCTAAAAGTTAGAGCTGAAACAGAAATTGCTACAACTTTTCCATCTTAATCTATTTTTTACATTTTGGGAAACGACATTTAAGTCGCTGCGATAAGATCACTAATATATAATTACACCTCTCTGTTAATAGAACTAGAACTCAAAAGCTTATATTTCTTTAAGAATTTTCTTGATAAAGAATTGTTGCTTACATCAAACCTCTCGAAGGATTCTTTATGTAAAAGTTGAAGTAAACTCTTCGAAAATTTTACAAGTTACATCATGTGACTTTTCTGAATGTTACAGATTCTGTATCATTTCCTGTGTGATAATCTGACGGTCATGATTTCCTGGATCTACATGGTTATTCACCTTTTTTTTCTGTTTTAGCGGTCTCAGTTCCGTATTGTATCTTGATTTTTGGTTTTTAATAATAAATTAAATGCTCTTGTAAAGTTGCATGGAGACTTGGAGTTGTTTTAGCTAGGCAATTTTAATAACGAGAAATGCTTGTCATGATAGACATAATATACTAATTAATACGTATACATAATGTATTTAATATGGTTTTTTTTGCAACACAGTTAAAAGATCTCAATACGGTTAACAGATTTGATTCTGAGCAAAACAGTAATATGACATCAAACTTTTAAGCATAACCAGTCTTCAACCTTAATCTGACCCTAATTATTTGTTTCAGATTTAGAGAATGAATGACCTTAAAGTTACAACTGTAACCACAGCTTGTCTTCAGTTCAGAGAATATCCTAAGTTGCCCCCGCCTAAAGATGTTGCCAAGGAAACACTAGTTATTTTGTTCAGTTGGTTAGGAGCGTCACAGAAGGATATTAATAAGTATTTTGAACTGTATCATTCATTAGGATACGACATTCTTCATGTTCCAGGGAATGTTAAACACTTTGCGTGGCCACCCACGTCTGTAAATTTAGCAAGGACAGTGCTGGACTACGTATGTACAGAACTATCGCATTACCGTTTTCTTCTTATTCATAGTACATCGATCGGTTCCTATAATTACACATCGTGTCTAATGGAAATGAATAGAAACCCATTGAAATACTGGAATTTTAGTCAACGTTTAGTAGGAAATGTATTTGATAGTATAACATACGGGTCATATGAACGCATGAGAATAGGTGTATCATATGGTCTTACTCAAAGTTCGTTTATCCGGGTACTATTACAACAGTTATTGGCCTTGTACTTTATAGTAACAAAATCTACAACGGTTGACTTCTATAAGGAAGGAATGAAGACATTTAAAGAACAACAAGCTCTAGTTCCAAGTATATTTTTCTGTTGTAAGAATGATCATTTATGTGATCATAGTCTGATCGATGTTATGGTATCAGACTGGCACCAAAGAATGACCCCACCAGTTTTAAGTGTGTGCTGGGACTCTTCTGTACATGCAGGACATCTTTTCAAACATAAAGACGAATATCTAACTTATCATGAATCATTCATGGAAGCCGTTCGAAATTTTCAAAAAGAGAAAAGAGGCAAAACACATAAATTTCATAAGAAAGCAAAGCTATAAGATCCAGATATTCCGTACTACCATAATTACAGCATAACGACATGTTAAGGTCCTTCAAATTAAACTTAATAAAATTAATTTTTTTTTCGAGCTGTTTAAATCAAATATAAAGTATGTCATCACATTCAAGTTCAAAATGTTTAAGTAGCGTTATTAAAAAGTAATTATTAGTGAATGTTTGATATTATTTTGGCCACAGTTCTTAAAAATTTACAACCCCTAAATATTGAAATCAAAATCAGAAGGTCTTTTCTGTATTGACCTACACTAAGGTGTATTGATATGACCAAAAGATGTTAGAAAACGGACGAGACATTTTATACTTCGAACATTTATGTCTGTTAAGGGACAAAATATTGAAAAACATAGACCTCTTCTGTATTAGGTGTGTTTGTGTTTCTAAACTGTAAGCTTCGATTGTACGTTAAGAAGTATGCTGAACAACATTATCAAAATATGCAATATGCAAGCATTTTTAATATTTAATGAAAAAAGGTATGCGATGTCTTAACTCTATACACAAAATTTCTACACGCACTGTTGACAAAACCAAACGCGATGGTACATAATTTTTTGCTGTTCTTTATCTCAAATACACAGTTAGACCTTCAACACAGAGCAAAAGCTCCTATTTCACTGAAAATGCTTCACCTGTTCATTGAAGCGAAGTCTATGATGCCACACTAACCTGTGTATTGAAGCACGGATATGCAGGGTTATATAATGAAAAACAAATTATGAAAAATCGGACAAAGAAACCAAACTCGACAGCCTCATTTACAAAAAACAAAACAAAAAAAAAAAAAACAAAACAAAACACATTTCGACACACCACTAAGACATTTGTTAGATATATTATTTATTTGTTAGATATCTTGGCAGGATATATTAAATTTATGATAAGGTCATCGATTCGGATAGATTACATCACATTTTTTATAAACATACATAAGTGCATGAAGGAGTACATATTTATCGGAAGTATTAACATGCCAATAGTTATATAATTGAAGATCATATACCTCAAGCACAAAGAAACTTTCTTCAGCCTCTATAAAGAGACAAGCTCGGTCATTGTTAAGAACGGAATTTTTACAGTTAATTAAACAAAATCTCTCTTCACACTTGACGAAACCCAAAACAGAGGAACGACAATTGTAAGAATCTAGTACACATGTGCATACGATCATTAAAAATCAGACCTGTAATATATTAGCACCTATTTCCTTGTGGTTTTATATTAATATTCTTTCATTTCAAAGGCTTTTTTCAAATAAAATATATGCAAATAATGTATTCATTTCTTGATATTATTTGAACTTAAATGTCAAATTCATTACCATGATCACTGTTATATTGATTTTAGTATGTATTATCACGCATGGTTAACCATCAAATCTCAACCAAAATGTTAAATGGTACAACCTTTACTAGCACTTCCTGTTTGGCTTTTCTTGTACACAAAATGGAACATGTAAGGACCTACCGTTGGCCTTTCCTCAATTTATTGCAAACATTTTATCTGCTTGTTAAAAAAGAATATATCATGCCTGAGATAATTTGCATTCGAAATCGTTCTTTCTGTCCTAATGTGCAATTCTTGAAATTAGTCACAATAACTTTTCCCCGAAAGACTAGCACATTATCTAAAAGTTTTTTTTCTAATTGAAAAAGTTGAGAATAAATTTAACAGAAACAATTAAGGTAACTCAACAGTGTGATTCAGGAAAATGCGGGGTGGTTGAATACAAATGGCTATAACTTTGTCATTTTACAAGACATTAAGTCAAATGGAGTACCATATTAAAGGAGAGGTCAACAAAAAGCATTACCAAAAAGAGTTGGTAAATCCACCAATAGCTGCATGTTTCTTTATAACCGTATTGGATAGAATACTGAAAATACACGAATCTTAATTCAAAAGTAGCGTTATCAGCTTAAGAGAGAGATTTATGTCTGTTTCATCACGAAGAGCATACATAATTTTACAAAATCGTGTCTTATATTTTGAAATAAGATCAAATTAAAATTAAATCAATTTTAAATATTTGCAAAGCATAGTGTCGTTGGAACGAAAATGAATCCAGCCATTATTCCGTAAAAGGACGCGATATAAAAAATCCGAGATCGTGTTTTGGAGCTTTGTATCCTGTGATTATTTATGGAATTTAACAAAAACTATTGCATTGCTGAAAACTGAAAGCGCTAATAACGAAAATAGGAAGTTCCGAAAAATATTAAAATTTTCTCCAAATATGGCAGCATTTTGCCGAACTCAAAATCATCAAGAGTTTTGAAAAAAAAATGGATTATAACTTTAAATGAGACTTTAATTATAGTCTATCTGCTGATATCTGCTATCGGCGCCATATTCCCCTTTGGGCAAAATTTTAACAATTACCAAGGCAATCTTTGACACATGTTTTAACTTAGAATTTTGCCATTGCACATGATCGTTCTAAATAAAGGCAACAGTAGTATACCGCTGTTCGAAATTCATAAATCGATTGAGAAAAAAACAAATCCGGGTTACAAACTAAAACTGAGGGAAACACATCAAATATAAGAGGAGAACTACGACACAACAGAAACACAACATTAAAATGTAACACACACAGAAACGAACTATAATATAACAATGGCCATTTTCCTGACTTGGTAAAGGACATTTTAAGATAAAAATGGTGGGTTGAACCTGGTTTTGTGGCTAGCCAAACCTCCCGCTTTTATGACAATGTTAAATGTAACATTAAAATGACAACATTACATGACAGGACTACAATACAAATAAATGGGAGAACATATAGGACAGAGAAACATACGAATAATAGCTAACAAAAGGTACCAGGTTTAAAATTTAATACGCAAGACGCGCGTTTCGTCCACACAAGACTAACCAGTGACGCTCAGATAAAAAAAGTACGAAAGCCAAAACAAGTACAAAGTTAAAGAGCATTGAGGACCAAAAGTTCCAAAAGGTTGTGCCAAATACGGCTAAGGTTATATGTCTGGGATAAGAAAATCCTTAGTATATAGAATAATTCATACTTTTGCAAACAGTAAATTTATAAAAATGACTATATAATAGATATACATGATAACACCGAAGTGGTGACTAACTACAGAATAAAAACGGATACATAAAACAACATAAACCAGCACATAAAAATTCACAGCCGAGTTAGCCAAAGAGATCAACGCTAAAAAAAGTGACGTCACATTTGAATTTCTGAAATTTCCCCAAAATAGGATAGAATTAGATTTGGTTAATAATACTCATATAACATTTATCAATAACAATGAATATTACAATACTAATTAATATAAAATGTAGTAGTTATATAAATAATTAATAGTATTATCTAGCTATGCTTTATATGACGTTATAAAACTTAATCCGTTGGCGGTGTACTGATTTATATTTAAGTCTGTAATACATGGGGTATTCATTGGTTGTAATTTCAATTTGACCTAGCTTTCAGGAAGTGTTTTTTTTGCAATTTACCGATCTAAAGACCATAGCTTTTCCAACTGCATTTTACAGGTTGATCCTATACAAAAGTAAGGAGATGTGATATGTTTGCCAATGAGAAAACTATCCATTACAGTCAAAATGACATGGCATGTTGATTACATGTTTTACCCCGCCATATTCTTTATGTGCCTGTCTCCAGACAGCAGCATGTAATTCAGTGGTTGTCGTTTGTTACTGTATATCATATAGGTTTTTTGTTTACTTTTTTGCACATAAATCAGGCCGTTAGTTCTCTTGTTTGAATTGTTTTACATTTGTCATTTCGGGCCTTTTAAAGCATATTATGCGGTATGGGTTTTGCTCATTGTTGAAGGCAGTACGATGACCTGCTGTTGTTAACTTCTACGTCATTTGGTCTCTGGTGAAGTGTCGTCTCATTTGCAATCATACCACATCTTCTTTTTTTATTTTAACCTCGCATCATTCTTTGTGTGGCGGTACAAAACCAGGAGGTTGTATTCCAGTGGTTGTCGTTGGTTGCTGTCAGCCATAATGGTTTTTTATATGTTCCAATTGTCGTAACTACGTTCCCGTCCACTTTTCCCCGAATGTGACCCACCATATTAGACTTATCACCGGGTTTATACTTACATGAGCAACACGATGGGTGCCACATGTGGAGCAGAATCTGCTTACCCTTCCGGAGCACCTGAGATCACCCCCAATTTTTTGTGGTGTTCATGTTTTTCAGTCTTTAGTTTTGTGTACTGTTGTTTGTCTGTCATTTTTCTTTTTTAGCCATGGCGTTGTCAGTTTCGACTTATGAGTTTGAATGTCTCTTTGGTATCTTTCGCCTCTCTTTATCATTATTATAGTAGTATACATCAGGCAGTTGGTATTCTCTTTTGATTTCTTTCACATTTTGTTTTCCTATGTGTTTTACAGCTTACTATACGTGACGATAGCAACAGCAAATATGATTTTCAGTATGTCGAGTAAACAAAGTGTATAATATTGCCATTAAAAGTTTGGCGTTGTATACCACCTGTCTCTACATTCCTGCAAAGTCATAACCAGTTTATGATAGTCATACCACTGTCCATAGTCAAAGTAAACAAATATTTTCATTGCTGTCTGTGACGTCTCTGAGGACACGGATATATCTAACTATGTAATATCGTTCTAAGGAGAAGCCAAGAGAAGGAAAAGTCGTCCATATTGTCCTGAATTTTGACATGAAGAATATCGTTAGAACAATTTTGTTATTTAGCCGAATTTTGTCTCCGAATGACGTAAGATCCGTCTCCGAATAATCTTCTGACGTCAAACAATAATCACTTTTTAATTATGACGTCAAGTTTTTTTTTTTAATTGTGATTCAAAATTTAGCTGGAACTTTTGTTATTTTTAGTAATGGCGGAAAATTTACATACAAGTGTAAATACGTCCATGCATTATAATATCAAGGTCTTAAACTATTCATTCGAGTAAGTTCAGCAGGATGAATTTCATTGAGGTGGTAAAGGGTTATTTTCGTGCAACGTGTTTTGCCATTTGTATTTCACGTGCAGCCGTGAAAAAGGTTCGTTATTCACCGTGTTTCGTGAAATCTGTAAAAAGATCAACGTGCAAGAAATTTTTAATTGTTCGTTCATCGTAAAATGGCAATTTTATTTCGCGTTCTTCCGTGCAGATACTCCCCCCTTTTACGCCCCTCTTCATTGGAAAAATCGGTATTATAGATATAGAGATGATGTCGTCTATATATATCCAGGTATTATTTACCATTTATAATACATTTGTAACTTTCGTTGTGTTATGTGAAGCTTAGACATGAAGTGCGATACATTTAAGTACCAAAGCAATGACAACTGAACTGGTGATACCGTCGGGGATTAGCAGTGCACCACCAGAGCTCTTGGGATAATAGCCAATGACGGGCGGTAAAATATCTACCAACTACAATGTAGGTCAGGGGAAGCACCGCTACATTTTAAAGATAAAACTACGTCATCAGTAACTAAAAACTGGTTATGGACTCCAATGGCATTCCGTAGTTTCGCTTTACTTCTTAGAGGTGACATAATTATACCAGGCACTGCTTGCATCTACCATGAAGAATAAAAGTCCTCAAACAAGAGAATGCGATTTATTTAAGATTAACAAAGATGTACAGCAACTGATAAATCATATTTGTAATGGAAGCATACTATTATAATTTTGTAATCTTAAAAATTAGAATTTAAATGTACATAGATAAATTAGAATTTAATCAAGTGTATATATATATTTTAAAACTTTGTCCTGCAACGCTAGTTTTTTTTTCAATTCATGAAGCTATTGTTTTGCAGTTGCCACTTTCATTCATTCAACGAATAACTGTTTGTTATCAAAAGATAGAAAACAAATTTGAACATAAGACGTTTTCCTTGAACATTACTCATTATTTTATAGAGGGCGTTTCCCTAAAAGATAAATAAATATTATCACATTGTTATCTTTTTTCTTTTTTTTTTCATGACGTTTGGTATTAAATATTAATGATTTATAGATTTAAAAAAGTATGTTAGTAAGTAAGCAAGACAGTAAATAAATAAACACAATGTTTTCGAATTGTCTCTTTCGCCCGTTTCCATTCTCTTGTGAAAACCAAAACCAAACTTGTTTTTGTGTTTAAAACAAAAATGACGTCACAGTATCAAATTATTTTAGCAGAACAACGTGTTCAAGTTTGCCACATCTCTTTTTAAAGCACCACTGAGTTTTTGTCCATTATAACACGTTGCAGATAAGATTTGTTAAGTCTTCAAAAATAACGCAACATAATTTTGATTTCAAAATTGTTTGTTTTTCAAGTACTCCCAGAATGAATTCAAACTTAAAAAGGGAAAATTATACGTTTTGCATAATAAGGAGAAAAGAAAAAATTGAGAATTGAAATGGGGAATGCTTCAAAGAGACAACAATCCGACAAAAAGCATAAAACAGCCCAAGGCCACCAAATGGGAACTTGTATTTGTTTTCATATAAGATTTTATTTTGGATTATTCCGTTGCTTTATTTCTCATCTAAACAAAAGATTCAAACAAAAATATTTCCTCTGAAATACTACATTACAAATTCAAATTGAGGGTAGAGGAGATATAATTGTGGATCGTTTCTTAATTACAACATTGCTATGTTTAGAGTTTAAAATTATATAAATTGAAGTAAAAACGAAACAATGGCAAATTAAATAATGTTAAACCGACTCTGTGCTTTATGATCAAGATTTTATGTGACGTTATGTATAGAAAGATATCCAATATTTGATCATCTAAGCACAGGAAATGTCATACTAACAGTTACCAACCACATATAAGTAATTGAATAGACTAAAGTATTCTAAAATTCAATATAATTAGAATCAAAAACTGAATCGTTATGAAAGGAAAAGTCCATCATCTATATATTTCGTATTCAAAACTCATTTATTCAATCCAGCTGTTATTCCTTAATTTCATTGACTACCCCCGCCTTTGAAAGAATAGTTTGTGTAATGTTTGCTATCTCCATACTTCTGTCTTCTAAATATATATCTTACTATTATAGCCTCAACAGCAAACAATGAAATTAATTTCTATTGGAAGAATAATCTTTTTTTTCTAATTCCCGTTGAACAGATTGAAACAGTATTGAAATGACATTGTACTTGAGACTGCTAATTTCCTGACATCTGTATAATTTCTGCAGGAGACGAATGTTCCTCTACTTTACATGTACATCCCGATTTTACCCGCATATAATCAACTCGAAAAGGTTCCGTCACATTAAAATCTTTCACAATAGCATACATGTATGTGTAGTTCTGTACACACTTTGATCTGTATATTGGGTCTATAAAACGACAAGGCATGTCAGCTACTGCTGGATGACAAATCGTTTCGTAAAATCTTTGAACAGCATTAACATCCCTATAAAGTTCCAGCAATTTTCCTTCTCTGGATAACCCACCACGGGGTGCTATCCTTCGCTTTACTGTTGGACAACAAGGTGACAGATGTGTATGGGTTTCTAAAGAATCATAAGCTCTCTTTTCTATATCTTCGAATTGTCTGAAAAGATAAAAAAGAGTAAAATTAAAGCAAATTAGAAATGTATTAATGTTAGACAGAACCTGCTTACTACACTGTTGATATATCACTTTCCTTGAATTTTGGAAAGATTAAAGACTATCCATTGTACGTGTATGTCGACATTGATTTGTTTAAATAGACATAGTTTATAGACACGAATAGTACATGTGTAATACTTTATTCTGGCTTCGAAGACTAATTTCACTCCAAGGAAAGTAATAGTCTTGTCACACTGAGTTGAACTTTTACAGAAGAAAATTTAGCTCAGTCATCAATACCAACAAATTCATAATTGAAAAATGCATTCAGTAAATTCTCAACTACTCATATTGTTTTCTGACTGGAACTCTTACTGCTTATTTAATATTGTGACAAAGCTTGAAAATAACGGTATTTACAATTTCGTCGATGTCAAAATTCTATGGAATTGTATCGTATGGTTGATACATGTTTGAATGAGAACTGTGAAAAAGATTTCATATTTGATGTTTTTTTTTTCTTTTTGGAAATACTCATTGGTATATCATTATAGTAGTTTGAGACATCAGAAAACAAAATTGCTGCATGATAACGACTTTGAAGTAGCAAATATAGAAAACCATGGCTACGATTGGAACTTTTTTGGTGGGGTTCGTGTTGCTCAGTCTTTGGTTTTCTATGTTGTGTTTTGTGTACTATAGTTTGATTTTCTTTTTAGCCATGGCGTTGTCAGTTTATTTTCGACTTGTGAGTTTGAATGTCCCTTTGGTATCCTTCGCCTCTCTTTTAAGGTAGCTTTAGGTAACTGCTAGTACTGTTTGGTAAAGCATTGATTTAATAGTAACTGTGTTTTATGTGTTAAAACGGTAAAAAATAAAGTTAAATAACTTCTTCGGGTCTTTTTATTATGCGTTTACTGGGAATTTGGTTATTTCACCGATCGGGACAACAACGAAAATGATAGAGTTCCAAACAAATTGTTTATACCAGCAATATAATCAAAGTACTGAAGTACTGAACATCCATTCGGATGACCGCAAGTTCTGGTGGATGGTCACAAGCACTTGTCTCAGAAAAAAAAAATCACATCTCTTAAAGATAATACCTTAACATAACTTTCAGGTATAGAGCCTCTATACCTGAAAGTTAGGTTAAGGTACATAGATATATTTTTTTCTGAAACAAGTTCGTGTGTGGATGATGAATAAATGACAGGGAATTCAACCTCACCGTAATAACTATTATATTGTAGTAATCATTTGTTATCAGTATACTCTGGTTTGTTGTTATATATTATATTAATATTTGTATAACAGATATATATAATTTTCATCCATTTGTATATCATTCTATTCTACTATTCTAATGATAGTGCAGTGCAAGTGCATGGTGGACACTCTTCTATAATAATTCGTTTTTCTAATAGATTAGATTTGAGTAGGCATTCATATTTTCCCGCGTTTGTTGCAAAACGTTCTTGAGATATTCTTCCGCATGCGTTAACACAAATGTTCGGTATTCTTGATTTGTTATTGATAAATATATTTTCACGACAAATCATTTTTATATCATTTATCTATGTTCTTAAAAATTATTTTCATGAATATTTATTGATGAAATTAATATATAACAAGCGATAAGGAATGTTATTTTGCACTCGATAATAGCCGCGTAATTATACGAATTACGTTCGGTTATCAGTCAAAAACGCAAGTCACGTGGGTAGAAATGTCTGTGGCAACATAACATCGGAATGTCCTCACGGTCATCCGCTGTTATAATGTGCATGTCTCAACATTGTTGGGCCCTTTTTTATTACTTACGACTTAAACGTTAGTATTAAAGTTTGAATACAGAAATATGTAGCTTTGGTCTGCATTGGATAGTCATTATTTGTCAAAATGCGCATATTGGAAAGAAAAAATTGGTGCTGTTTAATTTCCGTGATATTATCTTTGTTTATAGATTATTTTGCCCATCACATTTGAACTATTCAACTTAAATCCATTAGATAAAAAAAACCCAACTAATCATATTTGATGGTCAATACATGATTTGGATTAGAAGAATGGTAACAAATGTTTCGTCCACTTACCTCAGAACTTGTTTTAATCTTGTGTTTTTATGTTTTGTTTCATCGACTGTCAACTGTCTTTTTTATTTTTAAGAAGATTCTTTGCTAAAAACAAGGTACCTTTGTCTGATAGATATGTATGCATATGTATCTCCATCAAAAATTTCATTTTGCATGTAATATTATCAGTTTATTTGCTAATTGATAAGCATTCATATAATATTATATCCCCTTCAAATTTGTCATTTGTTATATGACATTACCAGTTTTAATTACTGAATAATAGCAATGATATAAATAAATTCAATTCGCAATTATATAGTTTATTTATTGGGTGTTTATACATCTTCGGTACAGTTAAATGTCGTCCAAAAACTAAGCCTATAATACAAATCGAACAAAAAGTTGCTTTGTTGTTTTTTTAGCAGTTGCTGCTTATTAACTGTAATTACATTTTGTTAGGGACTTCTGACTTGTATTAATCATCATATAAATATTGAGTATCGTATAAAATGCGTCATTAAGTGCTAATAAAATAATAATGTACGATCTGAATTTGCCTATTATAACGAAGCGTGTAAAGTCGATTGTATGTTAGGCTATATAACTTGTAGATCTAAGGATCAAACAGACATGACAAATTCCCCGATGTCCTCCAACGCAAAAATAAATCTCGTTCAAAGCTATTTTGTCAACACAAAATGATCAGTTTATTTCAATGTATTGAGTCAACTTTAACTTGAATCTAAATATAATAAATGAAAGAGAGGAAAACATTATTATATGACTTAAAAAATAAATGATATGAAAAATAACTACAGCATTTCGTGTAAGGCTTTGTCTACGCATCGTGCAAAAATATAAAATCTAACCAGAACGCACCTTAGAGAAATGTTAGACAAACATACAAATAGTTAGGTACATTTTGTAAATTAGTTTGTTTTCCTCTTACTCGCATCATGTTATTTCATAATTTGTTTTATGATTTCTCTAATTATATAGCTTAGAATATTAGAAATAGTTAACACACAACTTCGAATATGTATGAATTGTAAAGACTAATACCAGTTAATATTTTGTAATGGTACAAATAAAGTAACAAAAATTCTATGTAATATACAGAAATCTATCATACAAAGCTAAAAATTTACAAAACAAAAAACAAAAAAACAGGTTTAGCTGTCACAGGAAGGAATCGAAGCTTTATTATTTCTTATGTAAGCCTGTACATAAGCCATAAAGATAAAAAAAATCATTGACGATACCAGGCTTATAACTTGGAACGACAGACGCCAATTTGATCTTCATAAACATTATCAGTGGTGCTCGAATAAAAAAGTTGAAAGACCAAACAAAAGACGAAGTTGAAGAGCATTGAACCAAAAAATAAATAAGGCAATCCTTGCCTGAGGGTAGAAATACTTAATATTTCTAATAATTAAAAATTTTATCGACAGAAAATGACCTTTTCAATTGCATTTCATGTAAACACATAGTGCTGACTACTAGGCTGGTTGGACCCTAGGGAATGAAACGTCCACTAGCAGTGGCGTCGACCATGTGGTTATAAAAACTCATTAGTGATACAAACATGGATAGCTCAAATTCCGAAGCAGCATTTGCATTTTTATAGTTTACCTCCCAAACATTTAGTCTCGAACAAATCTATATGAGTGAATTTTCGTGACATCACATTTCAACGAAATACTGCACACTACTTATTTTGCAACCAATAGATAACAGAAACATGGCTTTTGTTGTTTTTCTTCGTCGTGTTCCCTGTTGGAAGGTCTTTATAAATTAACTAAAGAGGTTAAAACGGTACAATACTATTACATTCCCCCCAAAAATAGATCATGATATTTAAGCCTTTGGTTTTGTTACATTTGAAAACATTTTGTTTTAAATATTTGATTGTAACAAAATAAAATACAAAACGTCTCTTTCGTTTTTTTCGTCTCCCGCTAATCATAGGGGATGTCTATATTGTAAGTAGGATTTTGAGGAGTAAAACTGTTTTAATGTTTCGAAAAATATTAAAAGAAGCAAACTCTCCTAAACTTTTAACACTATTTAAAATATTCTTAATCATACTGATAATGCCAATGATACAGTTGCTACTCTTTATGTTTTTAAATCGTTTGTCAGGAGATTTTGCCTACTTCATTCTGTATTTGGTGGAGGATTAGGGTAAAGAGAGTATTAAGCCGATATTTATTAAATGTCTCCGAATCATGATGTTTAAAAAACACCCGCATGTAAATGGCAAACGTCTAACGCGATGTTATTTCTGAAGTGAGATCATTCTAAATAAACTATAAAACATTGCTTTGCTGGCGTCACAAAATACCATGAGGCAAAAGAGAGGCTAAAGATACCAAAGGGACATTCAAACGTATTAGTCGAAACAAACTGACAATGTAATGACGTAAAACGAAAAACCATTTATCTCAATAAATGTGATGGTTGCTAAAGGTATTTCTTTGACACTGTTCAATAGCTGTTTAGACGATGACTGAAGGTCTCCTGATTATCTTCAGAATTATTCCAAAGTAGAAAGAATGTACCTTTTTCAATTGAATATTCTGTTGCCGATCTGAATCTACCATTCAGCTTTTTAAAATTTACACGTATCATTGTTATTTGAGACAACAAAAACATTACAAAAATGTAGATTACAGAATATAGTAAAATAATGAGACCTATACAATCATTAATAGCCTTTACAATTTATCTAAGGTATGATTACACAGAAAGAAGCAGTGTCAAACACCCATGCATTTGGTTCAACACCAACACAGTTCCAGAATATTAACTAACTGCCAAGCTTCTTTGGTTTGTTAACAGTATGACACATTAATAAATTATTCTAAATGATTATTGAAAGCTCACAATTTGAATTTTTGTACATTTTTATGATATTTGGGAATAAACGATTTGAGGATAATTCAAACTCGTACCACATTGTCTTTCAGACAAAACTAATTCCGTTGATTGTCGCGTTGGTATCTCCCGCCCAATTTAAACGTTCAGGTGATCCACACATGTACATAAAATTGAATATTAAATAGAAACATAACTTTTTTTATTTTATATATTTCAAAAATCTAGCGAATTTAAATTTAATTTTATAGATTATATATACACGTATAAATTTGGTAGTTTGAGTCTTTTTGTTTTTTTTCTTGCTTGATTTTATAGTTCCAACTTGAAATTTTTAATTTCTACCTTGATATTTCTCAACTCGGTAAAGAAACGTAAAGTTTGAAAATAAAGGTGTGAAACGTCAAAATTGGAATTGTCAACTTAGTATTGAGAAATGTCAAGTTGAAACTATGAAATGTCAAAATCAAAATGAAAATTCAGAAAAGAATGTTTCTTTCAGTTTCCTACAAAAGGCATCTTTCGTCGAATGCAAAGGACTTATATTGTTTAAGATGTCGTTTACAAGGAAAGGCGATGGAAAAGTTCAAAGCTTGTTTTGTATTTACTTCCCTGTTGAAAATTCATGTAGCATTTTTTAATTGTTCCATCGCCGTGCTTTTTCTTTTCTGCAAGTTATTTGAACTTTCGATTCTCTATGCTTCCTTCAAGTTCCGTGCACCTATTATATTCTTTTTCATGTGTTACTGAGTGATTTAAAAGACTTTGTTTTCAAAATGTTAAGTTTTATTTTATATGGTTTGAAATACGTAGAGGGAAATCTTACATGAGACAATCCAGAATTTCCCACTATAGTAAGTCCTATGTTGTAAGAAGGATACAGAGATACTTAATATTGAATCGATGCCTTCTTATACTTAATAACAAGATTAGTAAAATGATTTGATTCCTGTATGTTTCCTACGGTTTTGGCATGTTTTATACGTTTAAGTAATGATAGAATTAAACAAGAATTGTTTAGTACGCACTTAAGACGAAAATGATAATCTAATTGAATTAAACAAGAATAAATTCCCCATCATCTTTATAAATCCGACAATGGGATTAACGTTTTAATGCGGACGAACTCTTCCATAACAAAGTAGTGATTCAATGTATATATTACCACACACAGTCTACAAGAAGACAAATGCAACATATTCTGAAAAATAATTCATAACATCATATTCTTCAAACGGATATGTGTACATCTCAATTCGTTCTTTTATGTGTATATTGTTATCGCGATTATTTTCCGTGTAATTTTCGTTTGTAAATATTATATCTGTATTTAGTTCTCCCTATTTTTGAAGAGAGGATTTTTACAGTGCAGGTAATATAGCATTTGTAATTGGCAATCATACCACGACTCTTTCCTTTGATATTATATGCATATTAAGTATTTTTTTGTGGGTCAGTAAAATCATAAATAGAGATTTTTGACCTGATAGAATGAGCTATCGGATAAGAAAAAAAAAGTTCTACCATTTATCTTCATTTTGAATTTTGATCGTTTACTTGTGTCCGTTTCCAGAAAAGATCTATAAATAGAACACAGTCCAATTTGTAAATGATACATATTTGTGTGTAATTTACTTTTGTAAATTACATAATTGGATTGCACAAAAACTAAGATTACAACGCCTTAAGGCAGAGTTGACCTTAAACAGAATTGACAGTTATGTTTAGGCTCCAACAGTTTGAACGCCCTGAATTATTTTTAGAATTTTACCCTTTTCAAATCTTTTGACTAGATGTACCTGATAAAGTGTATTTCAGACGTCGAATGTAGTGCGCACTGAAATAGTCTTCATATGGTTTGTCTTACACATGTAAAAAAAGACTCATCAAAGATACCAGACTTGTAACATTGTATTCCAGACGATAACACAAGACTCGTCAGTTACACTAGAATCAAACCCAAAATAAATGAAGGTTACTGAGGGAAAGGATACTTAAAATAAAGACCTCTTTTGTAGTTCTGAAAAAAATGTAAATTGCACAATTTAGGCATATTTCTGTTGAACCTTTCCTCAAATGTACTCCCAACGATGACATTTTTGCTCTGAATTTTTCAGGGTTATCATTTATTCTGATTAGATTATTAAATGCAAAATATATCACCATTCCTTAAACAAACACTTCAAAGTGAAAATAAATAGTATTTTATATGTTTCTAAAGAAGGAAGCTTTGTTATTCATTCTCTTTTATACGGTGATTCTCTGTAGATGGAGGAGGATTTTTCTATCATATATGGTAAGGATGTGCTAGCCCTACATCTGTAAAAAAAAAGGGACTACATTTTATGGTCAAGTCGTGAGGCCTCTACAGCAATTTGACATTGCTATTTTCATTGTCCTTGACCGCGTCTTTATTTTATGAATGATATCAGCTGAACAAAATATAATGAATCATATGTTTTGCAATTATGTGTTTTTTTTTCATTCCAAAGACTGCGGGGAAGAAGATAATGTTCTAAACCAGCCTACTACATTGACATTTCGAAGTAATTCAACAGAGAACAGAATGAAATTATCACTGATATTAGCTCCAAACTTTCAAACTTATTACAGATAAATATATCAAAAATAATTACAAATATCAGCAAGATACATAACCATAAAAGAGATATGAAAAATTATGATACTACAAACGCTATTATTAAAGTGTGGGAGATAAACTAAGGACCTCGTGCTAGTTTGTTATGTTTTAAAATACATGGGGCCCCCAATAGAAGTGCATATTTGAAAAAAAAATATCTATGAAATATGTTTGATTTCCCGCGTTAGAGAATTTTTGACGGACTCCTTTAGAGCTGAGAATTAATACAAAACCTATAAGTTACAACTGAAATCACTTTCATATTTATTAACAATATATAAAACTGGAGTGAAAGAAACGTTATGTATAAACAAATGAATCGATGAATCGACGATTTTTTTTTTTTAAATGCACTTGATGTTTCAATACAGACCTAGCACAGTTACAAACTGTAATACAACTGCAAGTCGATGAACAACAAAGGCAATAATCCACAATTCACGCACACAGCACACAATGTTTCAAGATGAAGCTTTTACAGTTCGAACGAACGCCAATATGACAAGGAGGGGATACGGCTTATATTGGTATAGAAAAATCCAATGCCAGAAATAAGATGCATGTAATTGAAGTTAAAATACATACCTTTCTTCCCAAAGTATTGCTCTTAATAAGTTATTGTGTCTATCAATGTCTGTTCTTGAATCTATTCTTGCACGACTCATAAGGGGGGATGTCCAAAGAATAATCTACAATCAATACAGAATGATATTTGAAATTCATGATATTTTTTGGAAAAGCAAAACAAACTAATTAACAAGGGACTCAACATTCCAGTTATATGACTGAAATGCTAAACTAATTTCACGATAAGAATTGAAATGATCTTGATATATTGAGGTTTATATATGACGCAACAAATTTGTAAGCGACCGTATGTTTTTGACGCAATGACGTTTTGTTATTTAACAGACAGCCTTCAATATTTATGCATGTCAGGTTGGCAATGTTCCATAAATGTAATGTAATATTAAGTACACATTGACTGTGTTAAAATTATTTCAAATTGGAAATCTTATAAACGCTATGGATTTTGCGTTTGTGAAACCATTGATTATTTAATATCATGCTCCGCGGACTTTATTATTTCAACCGACGTTATAAACAATCTTAAAATAAATTTCAGTTGAATCATCTTATAATTACCAATGACCTCTGTTAATTGTTTACACTTATTTTTTGTGTGAATTTACAGCCACATTTGTTAGCCTTTAATTGTATTGTTGTAAAAAAGCATTGCCACAAAAAGATGATTAAAGCCAGAGAAAGTGATTTCAATTGTCGTCATTCGACTGTGATTTAAATTATTTGTAAATGACAATTAAACTTAGTGATTTATTGAAGCACTAAATGAAATCCTATATTGTCTGCTGTTTAAGAATGCTCAAAGAGGAACATGGATGTAATTGAACACTAATTAAACAATAAAACATAATGAAGAAAATATATTCTATGGATTCTGTTTCTAGAGAAAGAGTTTGAAAAGTCACAATAAAACAAAATTAACATGTACTAGTATATCACCTTATTTTCACTCTGTAAACGTGAGACATATTATTGGCCTTTTTCTAAGAAAACGACACATAAACATTTATATTATAGATGCATTTACCTTTTCATGTGTCCACCTATCAGTGGAAAACACTTACAGCCTCTAATTTTTTTCACCGAATTCTAAATAATCCTTGTCGAACTATAATCATAGTGATCAATGCTTTGTTTTCTATGATCATTAACATTTCGACTTTAAGATATTATCTTGTAGTAACAAACCAGATCTTTACAAAACTCAGATTGAAATGTCAAATTCTGACAAAGCCTCGTCGACTAGTATGTTTCAAGATAAAATTGCAAGGTCAACCCACCATAACGAGTCTTGATCAATTTACGCACTGAATATTACTCCATCGAATTCTGAAATCTGAGCTTGGATGTTTTTATTTGTATGTAAACTGTAGGAAATAGTTCTAAATTGCACTAATCCATTGTATATTGTGAAATGAACCCCAATAATTTTCAACAATGCAATATGAAAGCAAATTACACTTGTCTGAACACTACTCAGTCACGTCCGAATTTCGTCTCATATCTGTTGAATATGGCTCTGCAAACCTGTCACTATGAACAATTCAGCTTAAGACTAATGCTTGGTAATATTTTTTTCGATGTTATATGAGTATATATATGTATCAATGCAACAATAGTATACCCTGTCAGAGCAAATGGTCTCGCTTTCTTGTAATACATGCAATTCTTCAGTTTGTAACTGTTACCTTGATTTGACTTCTTAATCGATTTATGAGATTCGAATACCTTAATCTACATTTTCCTCGGAAAATGTCTGTACCTAGTCAGGAATATGACAGTCGTTTTTCACTCGTTCCGTTGATTGATAACGTTTGATTTTGTCAGTTTTAATGGCCTTCCCTTTTTTTGAATTTACCTTGGAGTTCGGTATTTCTGTTATACATTTTCACCGATGTTCAAATTTATAAATTCATTAGGAAGATACAAATTAAGGTTACATAAATAAAAAAACAAAAAAAAAAAACAAAAAAAAAACAACAAAAAAACTGCGATTATTGCAGAAACTCCAAACAGGAGCTAGAACGGTTAATACTTGATTTTAAGTCGTATTTGGTGATGAAAATGGATGATAGTCTCTGGTCATCCGACACAGGTATTCTACTACAGTCAACTCAATTACGATGACGTCTATAAAACTTTTGAAGGAATGACTTCACCTTTAGCAATAGGAACCCCATAGTTACAATAGGCAGAAAAATGTTCCATTCATCAAGTCATTACCCTTAATTTCAGCTAGTACATTGTACCAAAATTATAGGATATGTAATGGTAAATAAAGAAAATCAGATGGATGTTATTTAAAAAGTATCCGATGTTTTTCCTTTGGTAGTTCTGGGATTTTATTTTCTTAATTTCAAATAATTCAAATACATCAGTATAACAAACCTGAATCTCAGATATTTATTTTTATAAAGAATCATGTTAAAAACTCTGTTGAATTAAATTAATTTTCAAATTAAAGCCTTAAAAGTCCAATTCAAAATAACTGATTTCATTCTATAACGTTAACGGCAAAACAGAAAAAAGTAAACAGTAATGTTAAAATCAAGGTAATGTTTTAACTTATTTATAGAGAACATATATTTTTGGAAAGTATAAAGCTATCCTTCTAATAACATATGAAAAGAAGGCATTCAAGTAATTAGTTTATTAGGATGATTTTATTATTTACAACACAAATATATTATGCTCTCTCAGTTCAAAAAGATTTTTATTATTATTCTTCTGAAACCAAAACGATTTCCAATTGTTAAGAATTACCTTTAACGAATTTGAATAAACATGGTCTCTCAACAGATTATGACTAATTATTACAGTTTAAACACCTAAAGCACTTCATCGTACCTTAATGACTTGGATTTGGATTAAAAAGCCATAAACGTCATAAAAACTAACATGACTAAGCATCATAGCGTACTTGAATAAAAAAACAAAACTCATTCAAAGTTCAAACGATTTGCAGTTTATAAATCGAAAACAAATTTTCTCATTAAAATAAGCTTTTTGGATCACATTAAAACAATTGTTAATCATATTTAATTTAGTTGAGTTCGTGTTTCTCAGTCTTTAGTGATACATGTTGTTTGTCTTTTTGTTGTTTTAAGTGGGGTTTTTTTTGCCATGGGGTTGTCAGTTTTCCTTTGAATTATGCGTTTGAATATCCCTTTGTTATCTTAAGGTTTCGTCTAACTTTGAACGCTATACAAGTTGAAGTGAGTTTTTAATATTTCATACAGAAAGTTCTCTGACTTCTACATGCTGAAAAAATTATTAACAACACAACCTGCAATTAAAAGGGATATTGCCACAGAAGGAGTGTTTGAGTTTGTCATTTATATTTAAAATAATAAGTTTGACTGACGCTCAAGTCCAGGTTTGTCGTGGAGATCATTTTTCTGTTTATTTTGAAGTCTTTAGATTCTGTGTAATATTTTGTCGACAGTTTTTATTCGTTTCGGCCATGGCGGTTTCTGTTTTTTTCGAATATGATTTATAATTGTATCCTTGGTATCTTCTGCTTTGGTTCGGCCAATTGTATTGCCAACCTTGACATTCATCGGTTACTTCTTATCAGCAGCATATTTTATCAAATTTTCAATTTATGTAAAAATCAAGGATTAACATATTGTTTCTGTGATGAATAAAAGGGCGAAGACAAACAATTAGTCGAATAAAAAGCGACAACACCTTCAATAAACGATTATCGCCGATAATGCTACATTTTAACCACTAATGTGCTTATTCGTGATGACAAGATAAATTGAATACAATCTACACATTTCTTTGAATATTCATTTCCTCTCTACATCAAATCAACTATGTTTCACACTCAGTCCTACCGTAAATCATTTGCAATTTGACTTTGTCCGGGTTTTACGAAATGTCTTCTCAGTTATATTAGTGATTGGTATTGACAAAAACAAACAAACTTTCAAAACAAGACAGATGAATGGCCTTTTATAAAATCAGTACCATTTACATGCTATTATCAAGTCCGCATATATAATACTTTAGACATATTAAGCTTTGACGAAAAGTGCAATGTAAAATATCCTATTCAATACATATGTTTTGATTGATATAATTGTGGACTGTTGAATTTAATTTATATAACTTTAAGTTATTTCCTTATTACAAAAAACCCCAGTACATGAAAATTATTTAATCCTTAAACTTTGAAAAATAGCTAGATAATGATAGATTTCTTATAATGATTGTTGCAATTAAAAAAAAAAAAAATTAAAAAAGTGGTTGTCCCAGGTTAGGAGCCAGTAACTAACTATTTTATAGTTGTCTCATTGGCAATAATACCACATCTCTTTGTTTATGACAAACATGAAGCTTATATCGTGTATAAGTATTGAGATTGATTTCCAACAAAATGTCATCTAGATATTTGATACTGGATATGGCGGCCATGGCGGTTTCTGTTTTTTTCGAATATGATTTATAATTGTATCCTTGGTATCTTCTGCTTTGGTTCGGCCAATTGTATTGCCAACCTTGACATTCATCGGTTACTTCTTATCAGCAGCATATTTTATCAAATTTTCAATTTATGTAAAAATCAAGGATTAACATATTGTTTCTGTGATGAATAAAAGGGCGAAGACAAACAATTAGTCGAATAAAAAGCGACAACACCTTCAATAAACGATTATCGCCGATAATGCTACATTTTAACCACTAATGTGCTTATTCGTGATGACAAGATAAATTGAATACAATCTACACATTTCTTTGAATATTCATTTCCTCTCTACATCAAATCAACTATGTTTCACACTCAGTCCTACCGTAAATCATTTGCAATTTGACTTTGTCCGGGTTTTACGAAATGTCTTCTCAGTTATATTAGTGATTGGTATTGACAAAAACAAACAAACTTTCAAAACAAGACAGATGAATGGCCTTTTATAAAATCAGTACCATTTACATGCTATTATCAAGTCCGCATATATAATACTTTAGACATATTAAGCTTTGACGAAAAGTGCAATGTAAAATATCCTATTCAATACATATGTTTTGATTGATATAATTGTGGACTGTTGAATTTAATTTATATAACTTTAAGTTATTTCCTTATTACAAAAAACCCCAGTACATGAAAATTATTTAATCCTTAAACTTTGAAAAATAGCTAGATAATGATAGATTTCTTATAATGATTGTTGCAATTAAAAAAAAAAAAAATTAAAAAAGTGGTTGTCCCAGGTTAGGAGCCAGTAACTAACTATTTTATAGTTGTCTCATTGGCAATAATACCACATCTCTTTGTTTATGACAAACATGAAGCTTATATCGTGTATAAGTATTGAGATTGATTTCCAACAAAATGTCATCTAGATATTTGATACTGGATATGGCGGCCATGGCGGTTTCTGTTTTTTTCGAATATGATTTATAATTGTATCCTTGGTATCTTCTGCTTTGGTTCGGCCAATTGTATTGCCAACCTTGACATTCATCGGTTACTTCTTATCAGCAGCATATTTTATCAAATTTTCAATTTATGTAAAAATCAAGGATTAACATATTGTTTCTGTGATGAATAAAAGGGCGAAGACAAACAATTAGTCGAATAAAAAGCGACAACACCTTCAATAAACGATTATCGCCGATAATGCTACATTTTAACCACTAATGTGCTTATTCGTGATGACAAGATAAATTGAATACAATCTACACATTTCTTTGAATATTCATTTCCTCTCTACATCAAATCAACTATGTTTCACACTCAGTCCTACCGTAAATCATTTGCAATTTGACTTTGTCCGGGTTTTACGAAATGTCTTCTCAGTTATATTAGTGATTGGTATTGACAAAAACAAACAAACTTTCAAAACAAGACAGATGAATGGCCTTTTATAAAATCAGTACCATTTACATGCTATTATCAAGTCCGCATATATAATACTTTAGACATATTAAGCTTTGACGAAAAGTGCAATGTAAAATATCCTATTCAATACATATGTTTTGATTGATATAATTGTGGACTGTTGAATTTAATTTATATAACTTTAAGTTATTTCCTTATTACAAAAAACCCCAGTACATGAAAATTATTTAATCCTTAAACTTTGAAAAATAGCTAGATAATGATAGATTTCTTATAATGATTGTTGCAATTAAAAAAAAAAAAAATTAAAAAAGTGGTTGTCCCAGGTTAGGAGCCAGTAACTAACTATTTTATAGTTGTCTCATTGGCAATAATACCACATCTCTTTGTTTATGACAAACATGAAGCTTATATCGTGTATAAGTATTGAGATTGATTTCCAACAAAATGTCATCTAGATATTTGATACTGGATATCATTTTTATTAATATCCTGTTTATTCAGTCATAATAACAATAATTTATGATAAGCCATGTTCCGTGATATCAAAATTGGAGAAAAGAAGACTGAAACGTAGCTATGACAATTGAAATGGTGGTCATCTGAAACAGAAATTCTATATGGGTTAACTGAGCAAAACTCTCAAAGGGACTACTTTAACTTGGCCAGGAGGAACCCTTGGTCCAATAGCTTCCTGTAAGTAGCGGCAACCCTCTATAAAGAAAATCATAACAGCAAGCTATGGAAAAAGTAAAATCACAAAAATACTGAACTCCGAGGAAAATTCAAAACGAAAAGTCCCTAATCAAATGGCAAAATCAAATGATAAAACACATCACACGAATGGACAACAACTGTCATATTTCTTAGGGATATCGTATAACTGGTAGGTATATAATCTATATGCAGGCGCTGCTTGAACGTTGCTGAATAGAATTCGAAAGTTCATAATAGTAAATCTTCTATATTCTACATCGTGATATTTGATGTTGAAACTACACATCTCATACACCATAACGGCCAACATATCCTATTCTTAATGCAATCATTTATCTATGGCTAAAGCTATGATATTCTTTATCTCAACTTTTTGTCATATCAGTGCCTTCATATGTGAAATGTCATAGTATATCCAATATATCATGTATTTTTCGTGATCCTTTTTACGATTTAAAAACACTCAAGATTCATGTTTTTTTACCTTCTCAAGACTAGACAAAGAGGACATCATTATCCATCAAATTTACGTTCGACTATATTGATAATTTGCATTTCAGAATTGTCACTGAAAACTGAACTTTACGTTATGTTTCTCTTTTTTAGAGATTATATGGTCTATTGACCTTCGGATATTTACCAAATTGTAACAACATAGGCTAAGGATGCACTTCCGAACTAGCTAATTGTTTTATTACTTTTGTCAATATAACGGAACTATAAACAACTGTCACACAAGTCGGAGATTAAGGTAGCTATAAAACCAGATTTAACCTACCATTTTCTTAGGAAAATGCCTGTACCAAGTCAGAAATATGACACTTGTTTTCGATTCGTTCCGTTGGTTGATAAAGTCTGATGTTGGATTTTGTAAATTTTTATGGACTTCCACTTTTTGAATTTACCTTGCAGTTCGGTATTTTTGTTATACTTTTTTTTTATGTAAAGAGTATATCGAAAGACGAAAGCTAGCATACATTGATCATATTAGTTCTTTTAAAATGGAATATAGAGCTCGCTTTAAAAGATAGAATTTCTTTAATTTTTAATTTTCTTTCAATTACGTTATTTTTGTACTTTTTTTCTGAATACTATCATTCTAAAAAAACACTATAAATATATCTGGATTTCACTTCATCAAAATGCAAGAACGTTCAATTTCAAATATTTGAAATCCAAAGATGTATAAATAACATAAAAAAAATGAGGAGCTCTATGACAAAATCGGACAAAAAAAGTATAGACATATTCACACGAGGTCTGAGAAAAAAAGTTAAGGGTCTTTTTAATTTCTTAATGTATTCGGGAGTTGTGACTTGGATGGAGAGTTGTCTCATTGGCACTCATATTACATCTGCTTATATCTATCATATGATTTATGTAAAAAAACTTTCTCGTGCTGAATAGTTATTGAATAACCGGCACAAGGTTTTATACAAGCAATGATTAGGTGCGTTTGCTTAATATAAATGTTGCTTTCACCGTTTGCTTCCACACTTGGAAGTATTGTAACTTTAAAATTAGAAATTCTGGATATCTTTATGAGATTAAACAAATAATTATATAATATTCTAGCTGTTTTATGGTATCACATAAAAAATTAAAAGAAGAAACTTACCCATACAAATGTGAGTATGTGCATAGTTCAATCATTGGCGATGGTAAGGAATGTCCTATCTTCTAGAAACCTGGAAAAAAATAAGGATGTAAAATGTCACATTTAGGTTTACAAATATGAATTATTCTTCGAATTATGGAAGTACTCTCATCTAAAATATAACATTATCTCATTAAATAATAAACCAAGGTTTATTTTCAAATATCAAAAAATTAAAAATATACGGATATTCGCGTATAATGCGGCGGTCACACATAACCGATTATGGTACCTGCATAAGAGCAGACAGCATTACGAAAATCTGGAGTTTCATATCCCATATCATTGTCTGAACGAAGTCGTATACGTTCGTTTTAGAATCGGATGGTCGGATAGGTCGACCAAGCACTCCAACAGTTAGGTGCGTCTCGTGCGTAACAATCGGGAAACTCATCCGATTTTGCCAAGTCGGATTACAATCGTGACTATGTCGTTACAGATTCTGCTGTGTCGGATCAAAACTGTAACAATGTCTAAGTCGGTCCACTGTCTGATCTCATATAGGAAAATCGGGACGCTGTTGGGACATATTTGGTCTTTTTTTTTACCATGCAAAAGATAAAATGAAGATCAGAATCAGATTAAGAACGGGATAATCGGGACTCTTCCTGAACAATATCTGATTGTTGTCGTGATTAAACAAAGGTTTTACACATTTCAAGCCACAACTCACATAATCTAGTTCCGACTTTTGACACTTTTTAATCGGGAATGGTCATATCAAGGACGCTGGTAACAATCCTGATGTGTGACTGAGGCTTTACTCAAATGGTTTCTTTGGAATCGCACGTAATTAAACTGCTTTATCATCTTCCTTACAAACAAATTAATCACAGAAAGACATTCATTGTCCAGATGCGCATCTGGTACAATAAAATTGGTACGGTTAATATTATTAAATAACTGACAGTCAAAGTAATGTGATATTTTTCTTTTTACATGTCTTATTAATGAGTTTTCATACCAAAGCTCGGTGATTCTCCCCGGGCACTCCGGCTTCCTAAACAATTAAAACTGGCCGCCACGAAATAGACAAAAGTGTTGAAAGTGGCGTTAAACACCAATCAATCAATTTTAAATGTCAACCAATTCATAAACTTCATGATATCCACATAATGTGAGGTTTCCCTTCATTTACCTTCCCTTAATTTTTGTCAAAGTACATGCACATTTAAAAAAAAAAAAAACAAAACCAGGTAGATGATTGCTTTACCCAAACTCACCACTAGAACACGAAATTCATAAGGCTGCACATTGACAAATTATCAAAGTTAGTGTGTCAGTGGTATGATACATTTTGGTCATAAAGCAAATATTCTCTAGATTTATAAAATAATCTAACCAAGAAATCAAATGCCAAAAAAAAAAAAAAATCAAAACAAATCAAGGAGTGACCATGCACATAAATACGCAAATTTGCATAGCGCATGGATAATCAGGTTTGCTTTTTCTGTGTCGAGTTGAATATGTTTTGTCAAATTGTTTAATTATATAATTCTTTATTTATGATCGACTTGTGAAGTAAATAAAGTAAAAATTTCAATGCAAGGAACTGTATCCATTTAGCTCATCCATAGCCATTACTTGCCGTCGTCGTCCTAAACTTTAAAATAATCAACTCCTCATGACACCACAAGAATAAAATTTATTTAGAGAAATCCGGATGAATAATCCTAGGGTATGTAGACATCCAGAGACCACTTTATCCCATCAAACCATTTGAACATAAAACAATAAATGTCAGAAAGAAACTTTAATAATTGCAAACTTATCATTAAGGAAGATCTTTCAAATACACCACATAACCCACGTGACATAACCATAGCTGTCACTTGATTTTTTTTTGTAGTCATTAATTAACACCATTTGTTCTTAAAATGTCCTGTACCAAGTCAGGAAAATGGCCATTGTTATATTATAGTTCGTTTCTGTGTGTGTTGCATTTTAGTGTTGAGTTTCTGTTGTGTCGTTGTTCTCCTCTTATGTTTGATGTGTTTCCCTCAGTTTTTGTTTGTAACCCGGATTTGTTTTTTTCTCAATCGATTTATGAATTTCGAATAGCGGAATATACTACTGTTGCCTTTATTTATTGAATTAGTTTTTTGAAAATATTAACGCATATAGATATCCAATATATTTGCCTTGGTACTCTGTTAGGTTAAGTAATGCAAAGATGTAGTCGTTTGGGGTGGCCACGTGATTGGGCCCAATCTTTTATGTTAAGATTAACTTTTCTTTTGAAGAGCCTATGTTTAGCGAATATTCAAGCTGGACATGTGTGATTGCCTGTTGAGCGATGGTCCTTAACAGGCAAACATTTGGGCAATACGCCGACGAAGTTCCGGAAAGCCTTGCTTAAATAAGATTACATAAAAATGTCATAAAAAGGGAATTCAAAAGTCAAATGAAGGATCTCTCAAAGGGGCATAACGTATAATTCGTCAAGCGTACCTTTCGTCAAATTGTAAGAAAGCCCTTATATGACCAATGACGGATGATAAGTTGTGGAACTAACATTTTCCCAAGTATTGGCATTGCCCTAGTAGAAGTAAATGGAAATATATGACCCGTATTTCTTTAAGTTTCGTTGCATTCCTAACTCCAGAGTTTATCCAACTGTCCATATTTATTTAAAGACGAAAACATTGCTTAACACCTATCTAATCTCGATGACAAATTAGTTGTTGTCCCCGCAGATAAAGTCCCAAAATAACATTGTTTTGTGTGTAAACTAAATTACACAAAAAAAAACTTGGGAACTCAACATATATGCCTACGACACTTACCAAAGAGCAAATCCTGAACAATCATAGGTCTGTTCTATAATCCATTGAAATTGAAAGCAAAGATGAAAAACCTGTACATGTATGAGTGTCCTTACAGACAACGTTATATTGTTAGGTCAACTTAGTCCTCTACGACAACTAATCCTAGAGTAAGGTATGGGGATCTTAAGTTTGTCAGCTACTTACCAAATAAAGCTCACTTCCTAGCCAAACGCTATTTTTAAATATTTTTTACTTATGCGAAAATGATCGATATGATGATGTGTTTTGTTTTTGCAATTTGAACTCACATAAAAAAAGTAGTATGACGATAATCAGATGTCCAAAAACTTAGTCCTTCATATTTCAGTATTGATAGTTTTACTTTTGTCTGATAAGATATGATTTTGGCCTTGTATAAAAACTGAACTAAAAGATAATTCCATTTTGGGATCTTGTGATTTATATTTTGAGATAATTCAAAACGTGTATTTTGCTAACAAAACGTCTTATGCAGTGATGTTGGTGTGAGAAAAGTGTCTGTTTAAGTTAGAATGTTGCTCATATATTAGTTATGTCATAACCTGTTTGTGACATGACAATGTGTTATCAAATATATCTGTTTCGGTATATATTTTACGTCTCAGCGACATCAAAAAAGAACTTTGCCTTCCTTAAGTGATTTATACTTTATCATGATTTGCATTATTTGAAGGGGTAAGAGAAGCTTACTAATTTAAAGCTCGTTTTTTCGTCATTTTTATTTTTGACCACTTAACTTTTTATTGAACTGAAGGTTTCTGATTGCCCCCTCCCCGCCTTTGGTATTTTGTAGTGACATGTAAGAGGTTACGATTTTCAACTTATAAATCTCATGATATAATTTAAGTTTCCTTGTAATGATTGTCACTATTTAAACTTATCAAGGCAAATCGTCTAGAAATGTAAGACTTGCAAATATATGATATATGCAAAAGGTTACAAAATATAATAGTTTAGTGATGACATAACTCCAGAGCACATCATAGGGAACCGATCCAAACATTACTACTAAAAACATTCAATAAGAATCATTTTATAAAAATCATTCACAAAAGACAAAAAAAATTAAATAAATGTGATTGATTGGAAATTTTTTCTACTAAATAACAGATATTCGTGTAATTCATGGAAAAAATATATGAACTTTAGATGATTATAAGTGCTTTTTTAAAAGCAGAAAAATCAGGTTAAAGTTTTACTTTTTATTTTATCATAAAGTCGTCAACATATTTTGTAGAAGTAAGTAAAATTATCACTTACCTTTTTATAATTGAAATACATTCTTCGAAACAATTAAATGTAAGTTCCGTAAATATTTTGAGTTGGAAAATTTCTTAAAGAAATTATTGTTCCTGATCAGTTGCTTCATATATACAATGCATGAGCAGGATTCAGTTCCGGTATACATGTAATGCGTTGGCGATTCTTTTACGGTTTCATACCTTCGAAGCGGCCTTTGTATTCTTTCATTTGTTTGATTCGCAAATGAGAAAATATTTCTCTTGTGGGTTTAATATTGCACGGATATTGATATAAAAGGTGATAAAATTAGCTCCCCATATATTTACAGGTTGCAATATAATACTCGTATACAAAATCGATTGGGACTAATGATATATCATAATTGAGATATGGTATATATTTTAATCATAAAAGTTATAACTCAGTTGGTGAATTACTCATATATAAAGAACTATTGTTAGCTTAATTTTCTGCAGGTAGCCAAATGCCTTTAAGCTTTGATTGCAGTGAAAGGGTAATGGCTTTCTTGTTATTACATAGTTTTGTCAAACAAGAAAATACAATAAAGCACAATAAAGTATAGAGTAACTAGGATGGGTTCTTCGTAAAGCCAATTCTGCAAATTTTCCAATTTACGCGTAGGGTAGATACAGTATGTTTAAAAAACAGCCTATTCCTTAAACTCTATGTAATGCATGTAATTTAAGAACGGACAGATAACAAAGATATAAATTATTCCAGAATGATAACAGTAGGTACACGTAACTACGAGTCAGTCAATTATTACAGATTTTAAAAAAAAGTTTCCTTCCTGTTATCTCCAATTTATTGATATAACCTATATTTGTAGTTTTTGTACAGTACACACAAGTAGCATTATCGATACTCAGCAGAGTTTTACTCCGCATTAGTGATAAAATTTAGGGCCGCCTTGAATTTGCAATGAGGTGGTATGAGCTTTACAGTGCTTAATGTTCAAGTCTTACTTTGATTTCAAGATAAAGAACAGCAATACAATTGATAAACAATTGCTTTTCATTTTTACGTCATGAATTATTACTCCAAAATCTTTGCTAAAACTGAATATTGTTAACATGGACTTTATGCAATTCCTATCGTATACTATACACGCATGTAGGCATGCATGTTCCACGATTCATCAATATATACTACTTTCTTTATATAGAAGTGAAGGATGTAATTTGTCTTCTTCTAATGACATAAAATGTATCAGTTCCAATATAAATATAACCTCGATACGACCGATAAGTTATTCATAGTTCAATTACAGACAATAGTACTGCCATTTGAAAGTTCTTTAAGTATTTTTGTTTTTTATTTACTAAAATGATAGCGCAATATAGACAACAAGTCTTAGTATAGATTTGAACAGGGTAGAACAGAAAGTAACGGTATTTTTAAAGAAAACATGAGACATAAGTTTAGATAGATTATATAATTACGAATGAGAAATGCCAACTTTAGACTGTTAGTGTTTTAATTTTTCTCTATATAGTAGAAATTCCAAGACGACGGCTGGCAATAGTTTAAACAGCTCCTTATGATTGACGATAAGAGACATGTCATTTGGCCCCTTACATTGCAAAAGTATTAACACTCTTCAATCTGTTCAGTTTTATATAAATAATATTGATAAAAAGTAAAATAACAAAAAACCAAACTTCAAGGAACATTCAAAACGGTAAGTCCCTTATCAAATGGAAAAATCAAAATATCAAACACATCAAACGAATGGAAAACAACTGTCATATTCATTCCTTGTGTAGAAAATAGTGGACTAAACCTGGTGTTATAGCTAGCAAAACCTCTCCCTTTTATGACAGTCACATAAAATTCCATTATATTGACAACAATGTGCGAACAAAACAAACAGACATAATAGGTTAAAATGTCAAAAATTTATCAATACTGTGTTTTTAATCTTAATCACTATAAAACAAACAACTTTGTCAACAAAGAAAAACAAAATGGGATATAGACACTCTACAGAAAAAAAAAATTACAATAGCACAATAACATGATAAATGGATCTGATATTATTTTGGACAGACACTTCAACAATGAAATGTCAGAATTTTGTGCTATTGGGTCAAAATTGGCTTATTTTTTACCTAGTTTTTCTACTTAACAAAATATAACATGTATAAGTCACGGTTAACCAAACAAATGTTTAATTGACGTCATTGTTTTGGAGCAAACTGTTTGTTTGAATTAGGATTTGGTTCATATCATGTTGATGTCTATACATAAAATTAGGCTCTTTAGACTGTTTTCGTAGTTATTTTCTTAATAGACTTTAAAAAAAAATTGAAATCCTAAATTAAAAGTTACACACAATTCAAAATAATCAATATCTTACAGAATTACGTCTTTGGAACAGCTGAAGGATTTTAAGTGATAGATTTTCGTAATGAAGGGGAAATCAGAGTCTCTTAGTATACCTTAAAACAAATTCTAAGAGAGATCTCACATCTGCACTTATTTAATATTCCAAATAAACAATTTGTGTTGCACGATAAAAGAAGTATTTGAAAGAATTATCGAATCATTATATATGATACCAAGAAAGTCTTCCCGGAATTTAAATTATTTGCAAAGGTCATTTTGCAACCATGCTTCTACAAGCAGACACTTACATGTTATCGACAACACTGATGTAGACAAACTTATAAAAATACGTGAGGCGGAAGATACCAAAGGGATAATCGAACTCATAAAAAAACAAAAACAAAAACAAAACAAACATGACCAAAAGACAAACAACAGTTTACAAAACACAACATAGAAAACTAAAGAATGACCAAAACGAATACAACTAAAAACCAGGTCCTCTGGAATGGTCAGCAGATCCTGCTCCACATGTGGTAACCGTCTTGTTGTTTATGCAAGTACAAACGAAAAAGACAGTGTTGATTAAAAAAATTGAAAGTAAACTTATTTCACAAAATTTTGATACCGACGAAAACGTGGTAACACAACGTGGCTTTAATGGTCATTTCAACATGTATATGACGTCACAATACACTTAAAACCGACATTTCCTAGATGGCTTGATTGTATTATCAGAACTGAAATGATTTTGATAGTGTTTTACTATTTTTGCAATTTTAAGGGGTCAACTATGTTGTATCTTTACCCTCTATGGAACCCTCATGTATCCCACAAATGATACCATAACCTATACATTTAAATGAATACTTAGTACATTTATATCTCCTTCAGAATGTTAAGAAAAAAAACTTAGGCAAATCAATTTTATAATATATATTCATTTATAGCCTAAGTAAACAGTAACAAATTGTTTTGACAACATAATTATCATGCATCATTAATTTAAAGTAGATGTGTAACAGCTTACAATTAAAATTAATTGTAATTATAAGATAATCATACTGAGCTAATAGTAAAATAAGAATAAAACAGATTATCATTAGCAAAACAATTATAACAAACTTATAAAATACGGCTGAAGTAATAATATTTTAACTATAAAAGTCTCATCAACATTCTCCGTATTGATTAAGGGTAATTAGCTCAGACTCTTCCATCTCCTTAAGGATTTATTTCTAGGAGGTCTCTAAAATAAACACAAGTTAATGATAAATTAACTGATAACAAGGAAGACCAAAAACTTCACTTTATACAAGACGTCTGGTTTCTGCTTTCAGACGTTTTGAGTTCCTGAAAATGTCGAGTAATAAATAAAATGGAACCATTTTCGAAAGGTTAATTGAAACAGGACAATTGAAAAGGAAAACAGGCATGACTTTGTAACAAACACACGACCAAATTGTACAAAATTATTTTAGATATTTATTTATTCTTATTTACCAATCCGCTTTACTGTGGATTCGATATCTTTCGTGGATTTTGTCGGTAGAGATAAACCATGAATTTGAATGTTTAACGAAGTACACATTGTCTATGGTCTTGTATGCAGACTTTGACAAAATCATGAAATCAAATACTTAAGAAAATACAATTTTACCCTAATTCACGAAAATTGGTAACGACGAAAATAAATGCATCTTTAATTATTGTAAGAAGCCTATCAACTGGATATGACCCATCAATGTAAAATGTAACACGGCTAGTGTAATTAGAGGGCTAAGATAACTGACCGTTCCAAAGCACGCGAGTTCATCACCGGCTATTGGTGTTTTCAGTGTTACTCACTAGGTTAAGGTTTGTGTGTAGTGTTTTGTGCATACATTTTGTCTTTTCGTCGTATTTGTTTTTGGACATGGTGTTGCCTGCTTGTATTGGACTTATAGCTTTTAGTTGCCCTTTGACGCTTTCTCATTCTTTATATAATACATATAGTCCAGCGGATATAAGAATAATTGATCACTTTATGGTATAAGCATACATAATATACATATACGTATTCTAATGTATTAAGAGACTATTTTCATATTACCGACTTTTGACTCCAGAATTTAATATTTTTCGACAGGTTACCTGATCTGTGGTAGGACATCCTGGTACTCTGTCAGGTAAGAGCAACCAAAAGAAGTAAAATCCAACATATAATCGGTACAATTTGGTGGGGGGGGATTACCTGTTTAATGTTATCTATACATGACAAAACCATGGGAAAACAGTCAACTTTCCCCCAAAATTGCACCGATTATATATTGGATTACCACATAGTAGGTAACCTGTCAAAAAATTATATAATCCAAAGTCATAAGTCGGTTATATGAAAATAGTCTATTGTCAATGAAAAGTGCGAATACAATGGAAACCCCTGTAAAGCCATTGTTCAAGCTTTCTGTAAATAGCTATACCAATTAATAGTCATACAAAGTTTGATATGCAATTACCTTTGAGAAAGATGACTGACTATTAGGTTTAATTGCTTCTTTAGAAGAGGTACTAAATAAAGGCAACAGTAGTATAAATCGATAGAGATAAAAACAAATCCGGGTTACAAACTAAAACTGAGGGAAACGCATCAAATATAAGAGGAGAACAACGACACAACAAGAACACAACATTAAAATGTAACACACACAGAAACGAACTATAATATAAAAATGGCCATTTTCCTGACTTGGTACAGGACATTTTAAGAAAAAAATGGTTGGTTGAACCTGGTTTTGTGGCATGCCAAACCTCCCGCTTTTATGGCAACGTCAAACAAAACATCAAAACGACAACATCACATGACAGGACCACAATACAAATACTACT